CTTGGAGATGTTATTTCCTTTGTTTTAATAGCATCATCTGCAGCGAAAAAAATTTATACTTAAAAACTGGAAATCTATGAAGCCTCCAAACAAGAACCATATGATTAAGGAAATGCTGTCATACTGTAGCCTCGTGAGACCATCCTGATCTCGCGAGCTTTCAAGGTTTCACTCGCAGATCAGTCTGGAGACTCTCCGTTAAAGAAAATTTGGAGCAGTTCACCAAACGAACGTCCAATCAGCGTTGGCTTTGAGGCGGGTTGAGGTGTGACCCAACGAGAAGCGCGACAGTTCAGTCTAAAGAACATGGCGGCTTCGGCCGATGAAACTAGCGTTAGCGTGGCTATCAAGCAAGTTTTATCGGAATTACACAGTATTTCTTTACTGAGAGAAGAGCAAAACACTGCTTTGGAGGCTTCTCTCAGAGGAAAAGATGTTTTTGCTCTTCTCCCGACTGGTTTCGGCAAGAGTTTGATCTATAAATTGGCTCCTCTTCGTCGTCGCTCTGTTATGTCATATGCTTCGTTGATCTGATTGGTTTATTTGGCCCGTCTATCACCAACATAGGCCAATCAGCTAACAAGTATTTTCGCCCCTTCCCAAAATTACTTCAACGGACGGTTTCCAGATGGATATACGGAGCAAATCAATCTGGCAGAGTCAGGTTAGTCATACTGTACTCCTGAAAAAATTCTCCATTCGGTACATGGGACATTGGCTAAATTTTACCACATATGGAGTCCATTCTCGGACATTCTAACCAGATTAGACCCAAGAGACTGATTCTGATTCCAATATCTTTGTGCTCTTTTCTCTTAATTCTGACCTTTCAAAAATATGGTTAAGGCTTAATTTGTTTAGGATTGCCTTCAACTGTTCTAGTTAAACAGTTCAACTGAAACCTCATTAGTTCAACTTTTTTATTTTCTTTAGTTCAACTGTTTTTAATGTTCTTTTTTTCTACATTTTTTATTTTATTTTTAATTATTCATTTTTTTCCCTATTTGCTTTGATTCTGTTTTATTTTCGTATATTTTAATCATGTAAAGCACTTTGCATTGTCTTTGTACTGAATTGTGCTTATAAATTTGCCTTGCCTTAATATAGGACTACTACAGTGTAAATCTGTTGCTACATGGAGAGAGTGGGTGGGCTGGGTGGGTTTGTTTTTGTTGTCTCTTAGTTTATTTGAGGTTCCAAAATAAGAAAAAAAGAAGAAAATTGTACATTGGATGTAGATTTTATTTGGACATATGCTCTGAATAAATATATATACACAAAAGTAAAGACCTAAAATATTCAATCCCAGGTCAAAGGGACATTTCAACCGAATATTTAAGAAATGTTTGTCAGCTTCCTCTTTCGCAGAAACTGAAACAGTTTTAGTAAAACATGCTCTCATAATTCTGGCATTTAGTTAAAAGAGATAACTTCATTAATTCCAACAGACATAAAAAAGAATTTTATTCTTATCTAATAAGATGATAATATATGGATTTATATTTAGTGCATGTCAATAACTAGACTAGACTTAGATTTTATTTGTCATTTTGTTTACACAAGTGTATAACAAAAAGAAATTTCGTTTGGAAACAGCTCACTGGACAATTTCATCTTTTTAAAAGTACAGCCTTGAAAAATAGTTAAAATAGCAAAAAAAAAAATTTTTTATAGATATAATGATAAAATATAATAAATATTATATAAAATACAACACATTGACCCATTCTACAAAACATTCAGCAGTCATTGTAGCTAAATTAGTTTCTGTTTTCAATGACTAAAATAAATTATCTATGACTGATCTGAACTTGTTCAGATGCTCATGTATATTGCTATATGTTAAAAAACAGCAAAGAACCAACCAAAAGCAGTTAGAGATTTTAAGCGAAAACAAAACTAAATTTAGACAAGAAATAAACGACTCATAAAAGGTGAAACCACATTTAAAAAAGTGCTTTTTAATTTACGCTCACATTTAGCCGCAACTTTAACTACATGTAAGATAAAAGAGATAGAAAATACCAGCTCTTTGATTATAGATAAAATAACCCAGAGAGTTGAATTAAATTTAATTAGGACACTCAGCACTAATAAAGGGGTTTGCAAAGTTAATTCAGTCCATTAACACAAATGAAGGAGAAATATAGCATGAGAGAAAAAAAGAGCAAAAAATGCAGTGAATTTTAAACATTTTACATAAGTGTGCCAGGAATCATTTAAACTATGTCATCCATAAGGAGGAAAGAAAAGAGCTAGGACAAGTCCAAGCAAAGGAAGACTCTGGAAGAATGAAACCATAATATGTTGGTGAATCTGACCTTGTTTGGGCATCTTGGCAGGCCCTGTGCAGCTGTTACTACAACAGTGACTGAAAAAGGAGCCTGAGACATAAAGGCAGAAAATCAAACAAAATACAGGCGCGGTGTGGAAACTGCAGCAAAGGAATTTAGGAATGAAAAAAAATGAACAATTATACAAAACAGAGTCACTTTTAGGCTGCACCTTTAAAACACACATGGCCTTTGGTAGAGCAGCCCTGCATGTTTACATCAATAAAGCAATCCCTGAAAGGTCTCCCTCTCAACAATCACAGGAAAGCCATTAAACCAGAGAGGAAAAAAACATTCTCACTTTTGTCAAGCGTAACCTCTGACTGGTTTTCATTTCTACTCACCCTTCTCTTTTCCTGTCCAAATCTGCTCTGTCCAAACACAGAAGAACGATCATTTTACAGCCTCAACTCTTCCAATAGCATTCCCTGTAAACCCATAGCTTCAAACAGCGAGTCACTCAGTCATTCAAAAAACAACAGCTCAGGCAGACTACTTGCTCTGCCTGCTTGCCTGCATGGATATCTGCTCGAACCGGACGAGCAACCAGGGACTACTCTAAGGAAGGACGTGACATCGACAGGTGCTCCCTCCTTCCCCTTCCTTGTTTGTGTAAATAACAACTTTCCAGAAGGAAAACTAAATGTGTCATATGGCTGCAAATAGATCATTGATGGAGGAAAACTTCTGTTTTTTTTACATAACTATAGAGAACTTTTCTAAACAATCCTAAAAAATGAGAATTAAAAAAAAAAAAAAAAAAATACACTTTTTTTTTTTTTTTTTTTGAACTATTTCCAGAGAGGAAGTTTCAGGAAGAATTTACAAAGGAAAGGAAAGTGAGTGCATGCATGTGTCTGCAAGACCAGAGGGAGTGTGCATGATTCACAGAGAGTCAGGCAGAAATGGAGCGAATCAGAGGGCATGGTCCTCCTCTAGCCCTGAAACGTTGTTACAGCTGAACTTCCTGGTCATCCGCTGATACAAGCCAGGCCTCGGCAGCTGCCCGTAAACAAACAGTCTCTTGAGTCATGCTGGGTCCAATTCAGATTTTGAAGGAAAAAAGTAATCTAAGATGAGTGTTATGCTAGAATTTTAAATAATCCTATCATCTGCCACACAGATTAATCACAATGCGTCAAAGCCCAGATCATCAAACCGCACTGCCAAGCATGGTGGTGGCAGAGTTATGAGCACTGCTTAAAAAAGGAACGTCTGGGTCACAAAAGTTGTTTTTCCATTATGTATTAAATTGCACACATTGTAATTATGAAAATAAATGATACATTTATTTTCAACAGCATTTTTCGACAAAACATTTTTTATGCTTCAATGTTTTCACTCATATCTAAATCATTATATATTTTTTTCGCATCACACGAGTCACACGATCTGTAACTGGACTTTACTGCCTTTTATAAAGATGAAGACTGGATATAGTTGAAGGAAAAATTCGTGGCATTTTTGGATTGATGAAAGGACTGATTATTTTGATGATGAGCGTAATTAGCACTAGAGCTAATCTATGCTTTTACGTCATCCACTGCCATGTGGTTTCAAGAGATATTCACGTCCAATTTTAATTGTATTTCTTATTTATTGAAAATACCAAAATAGTGAAAATTCGCAATTTCGAAATTAGTAGAATATGGATACTTTTCTACATATTTGTAAAGAAAACACAACAATTGACAAACGCAGTCCACGATGCGGACGCGCTGCAAAAACTTAGTCACTAGATACCACGACCAGGGTGGTACAGCTGCAGAAACGGCATGCAAGAGAATGTAATTTCGCCTTAAATCTCTGGCCTATTTCTTTTTTTTTTTTTTTTTTTTTCCCGCCATCCACTGTATATATGTGGATGCACTGCATATAGTTCATGCACCTTTTCCTTTCTTTTGACTATTGGAGCGATGTGACGAGTGAATTTCTCCACTGTAAGATCTATAAGGTCTATCTTATCTTATCTTCCTGCCCCAGTAACTCTTCTGTTTCCTTGGGTTTTTTTTTTTCCTTTTTGTTTTTGTTAGTCTATCGAGCGTAGGTGGATTTCATTCAGAAATTCAGCGGGACTTTTTTCTGTCTGGTGTTTGACTTCTCCTGTCTGTTTTGTGTAATCCAGGAGCTTGATGCAGGGATTGCTGCATCGTTAGGCCAAAAGTCCTGCTTGAAGAATTGCTTCATTGATTTGCCAGCAACGCTGGCTGATGTGAGACTACAACTCTACAGTAATAGTTTGAGCTCCTTGCGGCGCCTGCGCCGCGTTCAGTGTGAACTCAGTGCAAATAGCACCATAGGGAAATAATATTAACAAGAAAAATATAAGCAGAACCTTAAAAAACATCATCCAGGAAGTTAAAGCTTGGCCCGGAATGGGACCATACCACAAAATTAGTTATAAAGCTGAAAGACAATCAAGTTAAATGCTCAGATCTCAGCTGAAAATGTGAGCATCTTTTCAGCAAACCTCTTTTATTCATAATACATCATTAAACATCAAATATAAATCAGCAGGAAAAAAATGCCATATATATAAAAAGTGGGTGAGTCACCAGAAAAACTAACAGTCAATAAATGCCACTGTGCGTAAATGTTTCACAGGTTCCTCATGATAAGAGAGATGAGTCAAACAGGGTGTAAGGAGCATTCCAGATCAAACCCCACCTGTTCTTTGACGGAGGCCAGGATGTTATTGGCCGTGCTGTCAGCCTCCATTTTGCGGCCAGCTGAACTGTTGTGGATGGTCAGCAGAAGCCCCTCCTCCGTCACTGGGCTCTGCTCAGGAGCTGGCATTCCTCCTGTACACACACACATAAACACACAACACTGTGGTCACCACAGGCAACTCAGCTCAGAGGCTTCCATACACAGCAGAATGTGTGCAAGCCTGTACAAAACACATTTCCTCATAAATGTGACTTAAATCCACCCATCCCTGTTGCACACTGGCAAGTGATGCTGAGAGTTTACCATTAGTGGTCACACACGATACCAGGGCATACACAAACATTCCTCCTACGCATGCCATATGGCCAGAAACGATGGACTGACAGTGTTTTATGTCTGTGACACTGAAAATTAATACCATATGGCCATTAGATAGCATACAACTGAAACACTATTTGTCAGTCAAATAGAAATGCATAAATGCAATTTAACTAATAAAGAAAATAAGCTTTGCTGAGGCTGTCCTAGTATATGGATGCTAAGGGCGTTGATGAGCATGCATGATGATGTAGAAGAAAGGTTGAAAGTGAGAAGAAAACGGTAGTATTAAAGATATTTAGAAAGGTGATGACGTGTTCCCTTCTAGGCTCCCCATCCTCCAGTTGGAAATTTTAAAATGAAAAGTGATGGTCTAATTAGACCACCATCAACTGATGACAGAAAGAGTGGATGAATCTCTGCTCAAGGTAGAGCCGGATTTACCAGTAGCAGAGAGACAGAACAGTAAAAATTCAAATGAGAGGAATGAGCCACTACATACGGCACTAAAACAGCTCCAGTTACTATTATCCATAAGTAATGTGTGTGTGTGCGCACGTAGCACAAAAAAAGTCTCCAGACACTCAGAAATGTGACTCCTTATGTATTCTGGGAGCCTGTCACCTAAAACAGCATAGGTCATTCAAGGTGTCGGAACTGTCCGGGGTCAGGTGCCAGTCCGGCTCTGGAATGACAGATTAAGGTTGTGCTGCTGTAGAGCGGTTTAGTCCATGCAGAATATTCATGGAATCTCCCCATCTGTATCCCAGATTCCTCTGTTGTTCATTCATAGTTTTGTGGCACCGAGATCCCGCCCACTTCCACTGCAGCCTTCAGGTCAAGGACATAGCAAATCATTTCCAGAAAACCAAGCAAAAGGAAACAGCAGACAAGGGGGGGAACGAGATCAAAGCCAGTTTAGTTATTAGGTTGACAAAATTCTCTTCCCCTCCTTTTAATCAAGCAGAATAACAAAGCAAGATGAACGGTTTATGCCCATTTCACTAAACATTTATGACAGGATGACCTAAGGGGTCGAGAAACGACACAGTGGGAATGTATGGTCTGGGTGCCCAGTCAGTCACAGGTTTTAAAGCATAAAAAATACACAGATATGATTTCTACCTAGAAGATTATATGTGAAAAAAAGACTTAAAATACTGAATTAAATGTACTTGTTTTATCTTTTCCAAATCAAATAAATGAAGAAGTATTTTGAAGACAAAAAATAAACAGATTATTTTATTTATATGGGGAAAAGTAATCAGAACTAAATGTCCAATCAGATTAAAAATGTGAAAAAATGTGTCATGTAAACATGCAATTCACATATTCCATCAGGAATCTAGCAGCTCAAATGGAAATCTGTCACGTCGATATGGCGTGAACATGCACAGTCAGGTCAGTGTTCCTGATTCTGAATAACTTGATTCTGACAAGCAGAATATGCATGCCGATTTGATTCAGACGTCGATCATCATAAACCAACCCTCTTCTTTTATACATGGCTACTGACTAAATGCTTCCAAAAGAAGTGTGTGTAGACAAAATAAACTGATTTGTAAAGCACTGTAATATGCTTAGCACATTTCCTCCTTCTTTCCACGGGTCAAATTCAGATGTCTACCCTTGCAAGAAAAAAAAAGATAAGAAAAGAGATCTGAATTAGCTCCGTTCAATATTTTTTTCACCTTAATATGATGAAAAATAAATTTAGAGACCATTTAAAAAAAGATTGCATGACACATGACCTCTCAGTAGTAGAATATTCACAGCAAACAAAAACCCTGCAACTCAAAAGGAAAGAAATATATTTTTACCGGGATGAAAACCGATCAGAAGATTTACCTCCAGTGTTAAGAACTATCTTAAAATGTAAACCCACTGAATATATTAGAAAGCTAAATAAAAAAACAGAAAATCTGTAAGGTATTATTATGTAAAGAAAAAAATATATCTTAACGTACCTCTATTACGCTCGATCTTATCAGACCTTGAATATTTTTAGCCCTTTTTCCTCTAACTTCTTGTTTTCTTTACAATGAAACCTAACCAGTCCGTCAGACTCATCTCACTTGTTCTGCAACATTTCTCGTTGCATCTCACCCCTAACAGAGGGGATAAAGGCTTGTTGAAAGCCTTTGAGTAAAAATGTCGCTGTGACGGGCACCTCCACAGTTCACACAATCACCACGAGACTTGGAAGTCAGTAGGAAGCCGTGGAAGCCAGCCCGGTCTGTTCAGGTTTCAAGGATGTCATTAGATTAATGTTTCAGGATCACACTGTGCAGTTCTCAGGGTAAATATGACCTCGTTCTGGTCAAAACAGCAGCTCTTCTCACAAAGTTAAAAAGTAACAAAAAGAAGACGACTGATAATAAACTTTATTTTATCCCTTAAAGAAATTTGTATGATTAGTTAATCAGGTGTAACAAGTATTGAGTTCAACAAATGCTATTTGGAGTCTGAATTAAATCTCCCTTTTATAGTAAAATAATCCTCAGTCTCTCTCTAGTCTAAGAAAAGTCTTAGTCTGACCCCACCCTAACTAGCAGAATCACATGATCTGATGTCCTGACCTCAGACTTGGCAACTCCTCTGAGCTACTTATACAACCGCTTCTCCTGCAAAACTGTCTCCCCACCTAGAAGAAACATAGTGAGAGGAAAAAGCAGTCTAGCAGTGTAGAAATAAGTTTCTAGAATACATACAATCCATTTAAGAGGTGGAGCATTGAAAATGTCCAAGGCATGTCTAAATTCTCCTATAGCTTCTCAGAACCCTGCATTCATAAGTACATCGATGGTCATCAAAACCCAACTGTGCCTTTTTCAGTTTTCCTTAAGCTTTTTAGTTAGAAAAAAAACAAAACTTTTTCAGCAATACGTTTACCTTTACACAGTGAGACTACCTTAGGGGAGAAAAGGAAAAAGCATGCTTACATGCTGTACCAAAGCAAAGATATTGCAAATGAAGTGGGTCAGTGCATCTTTCACCCAAGGCAAATCCCAACCAGAGCTAAATATTTTTGGTGGATGACAGAGCATGAAAAACTGCTCTCTGTAAATTAAAAGAGCATCTTTAACTATTCCAAGATGTTGCATGTTGGAGTAAAACATGATCTTCATCAGGGCAGACAAACTACGACAGCAGCAGTCTATAGGCGAAAGGCAGGGTACAACAATGTCATTATTTATTAAAACTAAAGATTTAATTGCAGAAGTTTATAAAAATGCAGAAAACCTAATCATCAAAAGCTGTAACCAGCAACGAACAGAAGAAACCCTCTGAATCAGGGCAATTATGTTAGCATGGAGGAAGTTGGACGGACTCTTTCTATTATTGTTTAATTTTGTTGAGGTTTTTGGGGGAACTTCTACAGACTTTAGAAAAAAGAAATAAAATCAAACTTTACTTTTAGACATTTGTAAATGTATTTGTGTCTTCAACCTCATTTGTACTAGGTCTCAGTTCCTGAAAGGCTCCATTTAAAACATTAGAAAATATTTATTCAGAGGAGCTTAAGGTTGACTCAGTAACTGTAAGATGGTTCTACATGAAGCTGAAATAATTCCTAGAATGACTCAATTACAACACATCCTCGAGGCAAGAACCTTTGACTTGATCCTTTGTTTAGTTCGCATGCCTGCACACTGTCCAGCAGCCGCCATGTTTTAAAGGGGGGTGTTATATTGCATGCTAATGTTTACACTAAGTGAAAGGGAGAAAGACAGAAGATAAGACAGAAAACTGTAAAAGTTGAAGGGGATATCATACAGGAAACATGATCGTACAACAACAACTACAACAGTCTGAAACGGCAACATTTAAAGATGCAGTTTAGTATCCAAGTATCCAGATCAGGGTTATTTCAGCGGAGCAGGCTGCTACTTTTAAATTTGTTCCCCCATGGAAAATGAATGGCATCCAGGCTCCATCCCCCAAGGCTCCGTCCAACACATTTCACCACGAACGAAGGCTACACCGACATTTTTCAAATTACGCTGAAATCAAGCCGATACATTGTCTGTTAAAGAGCGTAACAGCCTGGGAAATAATGTTTTTAAACACATTTACCTCCTTATTTGTTCATATATGTAAGAAAAGAGCTTTGAAAACCTAAACCCTGTAACCTTCAGATCATTGACACACCCTGAGTCCTTGCTGGCAGATGAACATCGCTCCTCTAGGCTGGCCAGCCAAACTCTATTACATGGAGTGTCATTTGGTCTAACAAGCGTGGGAGGCGGGACTTTATGATGCATCACTCTCAGCACCTTTCTGCTAGCATAACAGCGTAATGGCAACCACAATGAATGATGCTCTTTATGATGTCCTAGGTCAGATTGAGCTAACCTTAAAACCTTAACAACAGACATCTCTATTGCATTTTCTTTCCAACCCCTTTAGCCCAAAGGGTCTTATGGCTGATTTATACACAGACAGTGCCGCAAACAGGAGGCCTCTGATTGGTCCCCTCTACTCATGCGTATTTCCCGTTTGGTACCTAACTGGCTTGTTTTGTTTGTATGGCCGCCATTGCGGAAAACGACTTGTGAAGTTGGACCAGCTAGAAGAGCGAGGTTCGCAAGAACGCTGGGACCCTTTTCTCAAATGGATTCCCGCTCTTTTTTGCCATCATATCCCGCCGTTGTCACACAAACTTGCCCCCACTTCCTCATCGCCTTCCATAAATCAAAAATGTCTGCATCATACCTGCAACAAGCTCACTGCGACACACTGCTGTGGGAGTATAACCAGCCCTTTAGTAGCAAAGGTCTGAGCCTCTAGCTTGCGATGATGCTTGCCATTA